CCAGGAACCAAGTAGGGTAGGGAAGGACAGTCTGCAGGAAGCATTTTCAAGGGGGTTGAAATTGCCTACTAACTTCAAATACTGTATAATTTAGTTTTTCAAACCCAATCTTCTCCACAACCCCCACAAAGTAAAATAAATAATTAACAAAATATCTCTGAAGGCTTTGCTGAGTTTGGGGATTAAAAAAAAAAGAAGAAAAATCCAACCCTCTGTTTAATGACTCTACTGAAAGAGTTTTATAGCACTATTCAAGCCTTTAAAGTTACCAGTTAAATGCCAATTTCATCTTCGGAAGGTCATTGTGCCTTTTTAGAAGGCATACATTTAGAACTTGTTTGGCTGGCTATTCCTTGTTCATTCTGGGAAAAGTGTGTGTGACTCAGTGTTTCACAGGAGATACTGCATGGTACTTATTGAAAATATTTTTTATTTTCAGTCCTCTTCTTAAATTCTTAAAAATGATTTCTAAAAATTAGGCCCGGTATGGTGCTTCAAATCTGTAATCCCAGGTCTTTGGGAAGCCCAGTCAGGAGGATTGCTTGAGGCCAGGAATTTGAGGCCAGCCTGGGCAACACAGTGAGACCCATCTCTACAACAACAAAAACAATTAGCCAGTCATGGCTGTGCATCTATAATCCTAGCTACTTGGGAGGCTGAGGAGGGAGGACTGCTTGAGCCCAGGAGTTCAAGGCTGCAGTAAGCTATGATTGCTCCACTTAACTTCAGCCTGGAGAGCAATACACTGTCTCAAAAAATAACTATTATTTTATTATTTCTAAAAATTATGTTATGTAAAACTATTTTCTAAAGCCTCTGGGATTGCTGAGTCTGAAAGTAAGTAACTAAATTAGAAAGAATTTTAGAACAATATTCTCATAACAAATACTGAGTTAATACCGAGGTCTAGAATCTCATATACTGTGACAAAGTTAGCAGTATTTCTCACTGCCCTGGGGAAATCACTCCCTGGACATGAGTCACTGAGGCCTGAGGCAACTCCACTCTGTACGGCTACTACATGCCAGCAGATGTGGGCATTATTCACTATTGAAAACCTTGCCATTTCAGATTTTATCTCAATTATAACATACCACACACTTACCTTTGTGTGTGTGCACATGCATACACACAGTTCTTAAATAGGTCTTCTGGAATTTTACAAACCTGTTGCCAAGATGTGACATTTTATATCTACTAAAACCCTTGCTTAAAAGGCTATTTCATACCAATGAGAAATACGCCTTGTTCCTGGCAGTCCCCCATTTCCATAGAAGTTCTGAGTGGAGGGTTCTGGATGAATCCTACATTATGAATTATTTTCTAAGTATTAGTCTGTATGTGTTTCTTAAGACTGTGAGTTCTCTGAGGGTGGAGCCCATGCCATGCCCATCCCTGCATCTTTTCACACAAAGTACGTAACACTTGGCACTAGTAAATGCTGAAAGGATGTTTGCGCAGTGAATAAGAAACAAGCAGAACAATAAATTAGCCTATTAGCACATTCATTGATTAGGCTACCTGTTTATAGTTTATTGCTTAGAACAATTACGTTGGTTGATAACTGCATCAGTAACAACTGTTATTACAGTATGGCAGGAAGAACTTCTCCCTAGCAGTGTGAAGACCAAGAGTGTAGTTATGGCACTGCCACTATTAACTGTGTGTCTTTAGACAAGAAACTTTCAACAAGCATGCAAATACAGTTTTGTTTTTAAAAATGTACTGAAACACATCTGTGGAAAATTTTCACCTGTCACATTTTCAGTATCAGATCAGTAGATAGAACCATCTTGATTTTTATAAAGCTTACTTCACAATGTTGCTTTTGGAAACTGGGTGCATTATACCATTACACACCTCTGAATGTTGTAACTTGAAGATCACAATGCAGTAGCCCATGTGAATCTACCGGCTACCATTTCTGTTTAAATATGCTCGTCTAGAGAGATTTATAATCCTAGTAAACCTTTAGTTATAAGTATCTTAGGTATAGATTAGAACTGTGAGAATTGGTTGATTTACACTCTTCAGAATCAGCAAAGCAATTTTGGATGATTTACTCACCTCCTGATATTCATGAGTTTAGAAATGAGAATCAACTGCTACCATAGATATTTCCTCATTTTTCTGAATCCAGAAAATGCCCTCAATGACCATCTAACTTTCTGAGCACCTTTTTCCATTAAGGAACAGGTGTAGAATGAACAGCGAAAGTCACAATTTATATTTTTAATGCAAAAAGGCTGCTGCCCAACTGTGATAATAAAAATCCAGGTAATCAATGACTTTCAGAAATTCTACTCTTTAGCAGCATATTGCTATACTTTAATATTTCAGTCTGCATTTATTTAGAAGAAAACTTCAACCTAAGAGAACATGTTCAGGCACAGAGGCAAATACGCTTAAAAGCTAACCAGTCAAGACCCAAATTCTGGCCTTCTAAAGACATAACTGAGGGAAAAAAATACTTATAATTAGTTAACAAGGAAGAACATAACGATGCAGTGCTTAGCGTGAGTCTCATCAGGGAAACAGAAAATGATTTTAACACTACATGCTCAGTTTTAAAACGATATTTTAAAAATGCTTAGTTATACTTCAAATATGCCTATATATGACAGTATCATGACAGTTAAGGTACATTTTCAGTCACATTTGATGTAAAAAGACAAATAAAATTTCTCATTAACGAAAAGTACCCTTTGTGGAAAATTTAAATTTAAATCTTTTAATTTAAAGCCCTAAACATATTCCACATAGGAAAAAATCTGTAAGCATACTTCTTCAGAGAGGATTTAAAGCAATAGCAAGGCAACGTTAAATTATCATGGCTCTTGAGAAAAACAGAGGAGCAGTGTACAGAAGACCCTCACATTGGTAGCTCTGCGTCTTCCCTGTGGGCTGTGCCAACCCACTCTCTCCCCAGTAATGACTCTTTGTTTTTACTAAGTCCCAAAGGGTTGGGGAGAGCTCTGCAAAAAGAAGGGGGGAGGGGTGGATGGAATGCAGCTGCAGGCTCTAAAACAATGCTGAGTCCATATATTTTGTTCCCAGTTAGAATAATGAAAAGAGTGGGGGGTTGAGGAGACAGACTTAGAATAAGCAAGGTAGGATCAAACATCCTATAGCTCTCAGTCTATAGTACCTCCACTCCTCATCTATTCTACCAAATCCAATTACCATTCCCTTGGATTAAAAAGCTTATCTGTTAAAATTCAAACACCCATTAAGATTTAAACCTATCAGTCATTTATATCTAAATTGTTTCCATCAGTGAACTATATCAAGGCAAGGAATAAAGTAGGAAGAGAAAGTGGAGCAGGCAAAGATAAACTGAGGGCACTTGGACACATGGGACAGGAAAGCTGAAGGGAGGGAAGTTTAGAAAAGGTGGTCTAAGGTTTCAAATATAAACTGCCTGCTTTGCAATGCTGCTTAGGGCCCAGGGGCAACTAGTATGCTAGAGAAAACCATACTCCCTCCTAGACTACTAAAAGCTGCAAGGGTCAGAATGGAGAGTTTGGAAGTCTGCACATACTGGTGCTCCATGATTTAGGGTTTCGGCATAACTTGATGCCTCCTTAGAAAACATCCTTTACTTGCATTTCCCAGCAGAAAAAATTAAGGGAAGCATCAGCCCCAGAACCCTACTGCTCCCAGTAAGAGAAAAGCAGCTCAAACCTTACACTCTTCCTCTAGCCCTCTTCTCCCTAGATAATCCTTTAGTGAAAATTCATGGAGCCCTCCAGGGCTGGTAGAATTAGGCCTGATCCTGGCACATCTCTTCAGATATTATTGATGTCATTAAAATTTGCAGAAAAACTCAAGAAGCCTTAAATAAACACCTGAACTAAGCCCTTGAATAGAAAATCAGCATGTGCTAATGACTACCTACTAAAAAGCTATACAACAAAATCCAGAAGAATACTTATTCCAATTAGGATCCCATTCATGAATACTTAGTCACTGAAGAGGAAAAACAGGACTTCATTGTAAAGCTGTCATGTAGAGGCAAAACTCTGACATCCACACAAACACCTCCTTCAAGTAAGCATTACACAACACATTTAGAAGTACTCTTGGTCTGTGTTGAATGATGTAATTAATCTGACTCTTGAACTGTTTTCAAGTTATAAAGGTTAGAAAGACTATTTATTTAAATTGACACTTCCGCATTTTGTGACAACAAAAATTCAGAAGTCTGCAGATTTACAATAATCAAGAATCTTCCTCCCTCAGCTTATGTTTTCTCTATAGCTCTAAAAATCCATTTACAGAAATTACAAATTTCCATATTATAGCTAATATATAGAGGCATATAGAATACATACTAATTTAAATGAGGAAGCAAAAAGAATAATTGAGTCTATTTATTATTATGAAATATTAATAATAATTTAAAAATACTGATTCTATTCCTGTAAACTTTATCATCTATTATAAAGACAAAATTCATAGGTCCATTTTATTAGGCATTATCATTTATTGTGCTTTTAAATGCAGTAATAAAATACACAGAAAACTTTGTTTACTCTGTATATATGAAAAACTCAATTTCTACTTACATATTTCATTTCCTAGTACATACAACTTAAAAAAGTACACACACAGCAAAATTTTGTTAATAGTAAAAGCAATCACAATCATAACTTGCCTGAAATAAATAATCCCTTATGGATGTTAAGCTGTGATAAAACATACTCACATAATACCTTGATGTACGTTATACTTCAATAAAAAGGTTCAAACATGCAATTATTCATGATATGGATAAAAAACACTGTCAATATCAATAACCATATATGAATTTTTAAAACGTAAATTAAGAAAATAAGAGAATTCAAGCATCTTAAAGATGTCAGACATTTTCATTTAGTCACAAAGTTCACAGAATGAGTGGCTGATTATAATAAAAGGGTCAACTGAAAATGGATTTTAAAAGCTGAATAGCGTGCAAGAACATTAGATTTGTTTGTTAAATCAAGAAGAGTACTCACCCCGTGGAGTCCTTGGAACTGAATTGAAGGTCGAAAAGGAATTAAATTCTATTAAAAGAAACAAACAGGTAAACCTTGGTTACTGTGACACAGAACTAAATGTTTAAACTTTAAATCTATATTATTTGGGCCAGGCACAGTGACTCACGCCTCTAATCCCAGCACTTTGGGAGGTTGAAGCAGGAGGATCACTTGAGGCCAGGAGTTCAAGACCAGCCTGGGCAACACAGTGAGACCCCCCCCCCCATGTCTATTAAAAAGAAAGAAAGAAAGAAAAAAAATATGTATTTGGTCAGTGTCATAATGTGTGAAAATCTCTTCATTATATACTTTCTTTTGCATGTTACTATATTAAGATACCTTGGATGAACAATATCACACTATTTACATTTCTCTCTGAACCACACAAACAAAATACAGTTTTTGGCAGTGCAGCTAATCATGTTTTTGAAACTGACCAACATGATTTGGCAAAAAATGGTTAGTATACCAATTCAATTTTACCTTAAAAAAACTGTATTGTTGCATAGTTTCCTGGTATATTTTTAATAGGGGTGGGAAGAGGGAAGAGATAATTGGAGGAACTTTGCAATACTGTAACAGGATGCTAGAAATATAAAATTAAATATTTGAGAATAAACCTGTTTTCCATTTTCTGACATTTTATCAGAGATTTGTTTTTAATAGACAGCCAAACAGGTTACCAGTTCTCTCATATGCTTCTCACCAGGAGAACATAATTTCTAGATCAGTGTTTTTGATTATGAGCTTTTTCTTCTTGATAACTTCAATATTTTATCATAGAGTTGTGCATTTGGAATAAAAGCTGTTATCGTAAATGTCAGCCATAGTCTTTTGCATGATTTCCTGTATTCATAGTCACCAGCATATTTTTCTGTGGGAAAGCTTTTCCAAATTGCCAACAGAAACCCATGAAGAAATCAGATTTGGGTAATGTTTAATGGTAGTACATCAGCCTGTAAACTACTCACACCTTCATATTCAAATCCAATGTACAAAAACAGTGGTTTCTGGTCTCATCTCTACCCCAAATAAAAATATAGAGGCACTAATAATGTTCCTCACCTCAGCTACAGCACATCACCTACTACTTCCAAATGCTTCCCAAAACTTCTCTGCAGACTTAAAAGTTTACTAATAGGGATTATAATAAATGAAAGAGAAAAAGAAATAAAGATAAGTACTTCTTTAAAAGACAGACCACCTTAATGTAAAATCAAGTGTAACATTAGCTATCTTATTATTATTTATAAAAATGAATAAACAAGTATCTTTTTGGAGAAAACATTATAATGGATACTGTTAATGTTCTATTACCATAAAAGATCATTTAATTTTAGACTTATCAGCAGAATCTAAGTACTACTGAATAACAAATTCATTTATTGGTGTGGGAGAAGTGAACTTTTTAAAAAGGAAAAATAAAAAGGCAGCACCTGAATTTTTAAAACCTAATTTTTTAGTAGATTTTCACTCTAATTCATTGCCTTTTATGAAAATATAAACATACATTAACTTTCTTAAGGGGAAAAACGCCACCCCCAAACTACTTTCCATGGCTAAACTCACTCTTCCTGAAGTAATGAAAGCAAGCCCACAGGGGCCTTGGGAGCCCCTCTTCATGTGGAAGAGTAAGGTGGCTCTACAATTGAGATTATACAGGTTCAGGTTCCAGCTTTCACAATATTTCCATCAGCCCTGCTTTCTGAATGTCCCTCCAAATCAGAAGCACTGAATATAACCTCAGAGGCTCATTACACTTCCCTCCTTGAATCCTGGCAACTCAGAGGCTGTCTTCAGCTCGTCATTGAAATGTGAAATTCTCTCTCCATCAAGTTCATTGATTCTTCTTGGTCAGATAAATGCAAACTTCTTCTTAGTTTTCAAATTGCTGATATCCCCACTGGATATTACCTCTTTCTTGCACTTAGAGATAGCAGTCCTCCCAGTTCTCTGATCACACCTTTCATTCCAAAAGGCAAGTTCCTTTCCTTTTCTTTTTCTAGATCCACTTCATCCTGGAGGCTCACTGCACCTGTTGGGTGATAACTCTGAATCTCTTCTCCATTCCTCAGCTGGCACCTCTCCATAGCCTGCTACTTACTACTGCCGATAGGACATTTTGCATTAGAAACTCACAATGGCAGCAAATCTCAATGACTGGCAAACATGAAACTAATTCCCCCATCCCCAGCCTTCCCAACCAAACCATCATCTCTTTCTTACTTTTCTGGCAAAGGTACTTTTATCCTCTTGGTTCTCCAGGCTCACCACCTTAAAATTAACTTACAGTCTCTTCTCTCCCTGACTTCATATTCTATTAGTCATTTACATACTACATGCCACTAGAATCACAGGATTCCAAATCCAGATGAGGCCTTAGAGATAATACAGTTGGTGCCTATCCCCCACAGGACCAGAACCCAAGACTCAATCTCCCTATTTTGCCATGCTGCTTTTTTTCTACTACCTTGTGTTCCACACACATCTGCTAATGGGGTATTTAAGAGTGTGGGGGCCTAATCCCTCATGCCAGAGAGTTCATCTTTTAGTTGGGGAAAATTTGAGAATGATTAAGTACTAGGCTAAGTAGCAGTGGGAAGCGTAGTAAGAATTCTCAAAAAGGAGAGTACAGGTTAGAATAGATAATTGTTTACAGAAAAGGTGGCTCTTAAATCACAGTTTAGAAAAGGTAAGTTCCGAGGAAAGACAATACCCTGAGGAAAAAAGCAAGGAGACAGGAATGGACACTGTATGGTCAGAAGGCAGGTCTGCATGTGTACGCTTCTTTCCCACTTGAAATACAACAGCAAGGATGAGATCCGATCTGCAAATTCCTGCCTAATTTTTCCTTATCCTCAAAATGTGTCTTCATTTTTTAGTTTCTATTTGCTACAGAATAGGGCAATAATTTAAATTTCAGACCTCAGGATGACTCTGTTTAAAAAGTTTATCACTCTGAAATAATCCTGCCCTAATCCCCTCCCTAACCCCTCACTGATGGGTTGTACTCTTGTCTTTAACTTGATAAACAGTTGGAGGCTCTCTCAATTTTTTGAATAAGAGAGTTGCTCACAGAAGTGTTTTGGGGGAAGGAAGCTCTTTCAGTCATGTGCAAAATAGATGGAGAGAGACAGATCAGGGCAGGGCAGGGCTGGAGAAGTGAGCTAGTGCACAGTTCGGGGGGATGCTTAGAAATACCCTGGAAGTGGTAAAAAAGGCCTAAATTAGTATGACTGCATCTGCAGCTAACCGGGGATGGTGGACACAGCAGACATTCCCCAGGAAAAATGATAAGATATGCTGAAAGCCTGAACATCAGACACCAAAGAAAGATGATGCCAACGTGGCTCCAGGGCTCCCAGTCACCAACTCTGGCCACTCTGCCCCAAACTCCCTCAAATTAAGTTCTTAGTCTCCATTTTGAAAGCAAGACCCTTATCACCTCACAACTAGATAATGGCTTTCTCCCTTCCTTGAAGTCCTTCCAAATTGTTCAAATAGCCGGCAGAACCTCTCTCATATACCACTGTCGGCCCAGAGTAGTTTTTATCACTGTCTGTCAAAACAAAGCCAACTACTAAATAGAAAACACATCCGCTATCAACCAAGATCAACCAGAATCAACCAAGTTCATCTTCCATTTCCTCCCAACAATAGCTCAGCTATGTTAACCTTTGTTTGTTTGTTTTGCAAAGACTTTCCTCTCTAACTCTTTCATGTTCTTCCAACCTGGCATAAATTCCCAAGATCTACTTTGCCAATCCATACTTATTGCTTACTTAACATTCAACCTCAAAATTAATTTCCTCAGTGAGACCTTCCTTTGGATAAACCAGGAGTCAAAGACTCAATGTTTCAATGTCTTCAAAGACCCAAAGGTCTTTGGAACAGATGGATGTAGGGCAACAAGGAGTGGTAAGTACCTGGAAAATGAATGCCCAAAGGAAAAATATCCAAATTAAAAAATGTTAAACCTGTTTCTAGCCAAACAAAACTCTGGTGCCACCATTTTGCTAACTTGGAACTATGTAACTATGAGTTAAATCTCATTAGCTGTTTGTCCAGATGCCAGCATCTACTGTTCCACTACATTGGGTATATTTTTTTCATAGGTTGTCTTATTCCTGATTGTTATGACACAGGAGTCTTAGGCATATGTAACTTACAAGTATTATGTGCTCAGCTAAACAAGAAAAAAAGTATTGTAAAATCATTTTGTATATGTTCTCTTTATATATGAAGTATACCACTATATACATTGTACACATATGCAGATTACTATTCAGGGTTGTACAGATAAGACAATATGTACTATTCTTCATAACAATTTAGAAACTTGCAAGAATAATTTTGACTATATACAATTTTTTTCCTCATGCCCTGAATTTAGAACTTGACTTCTTGACATGTTTATAGTTCTACCTATAGAGCTTGACTCCTCAACAAGAATAATTTTTATTTATCTAGTTTTCTAATGTATGGCACAGAGCATTTTATATCTGTTGTCTCAAGTGAGCCTCCTAAAACCAGCTCTGGGTGGTAGGAAAGCATCATTATTCCCCATTTCAGAGACAAAATAAATAATGAGTCTCTAAAAGGTAGAGTACATCACTCAGGATCACAGACCTGGTGATTAGCAGAGTTGGGCCTTAAATCCAGTCCTCTGAATGCCAAATACAGTACTCTTTCTTTCTCTTGCCTCTGAAATGTGTTACCCCCTTGTGCTAAACATTTAAAAGACCTTAAATGTTCACTCAGTTCTTTTGGCATTTTGTTTCCAAGGAAAATGAATTTCATAAAGTAATTAAAATTTCCAAAAAAACTAAAGTAAAATTTAGTTCAGTTTCTGATTAAAAACTGAAAAAAAAAATAGTTTTTTTTCCTTTAAGGACGATGTATAGTGAAAGAACATACATAAATATTTGTTACCATTTTATTTAATATATAATAAAACCCTCATTTATGGAAGAGTTATATGTACTTATCCAAACAAGCTCATTGTCACTCAGAAATTCTTTTAAGAT